AGTGATCCTCTGTTGTTATCATAGCAGCCACAAACCTGGGGTGATCCTCCTGTTAAAATTAGAATTGGGTTATTCGGTGTCGATTAAAATTAGAATTTTCTTTGATTAGAATTAGAATTCTAAAATTAAAATTAGAATTATTTGATTCAATTTCAGTTTTTCTGTTATTGGGTTTTGTGAATTTTCTTTTTGTTTCAGTGGCTTCAAGGTTCTGATAATTGATCTTTTTTTGTCTGATGCTGCTCTCCCAGTTCTCAATCCTCGATTTTTGCATCTCGAACTTTGCTCGCAAGGTAACCTTCATCATCTTCTGAATTTTTTGGGTCTATCTTTGCGCCTTCTTCCAATGTATTCATTCCTTTTTCCCACCACTTCGAATTGTGCTGATTGTGGACATTTGACGAGTTCTTTGCATTTTCTTTGAATTATTTGATTCAATTTCAGTTTCTTTGCATTTTCTCTGAATTTGTTTAATGGGCATTAGTTTTTTTGTTTTCAATGGCTTCAAGGTTCTGAGACAATTTGGATCTAATTTGATATAAATGGTGTTTTTTTTTTTTAATATAGAACTGGGCAAACCCTTTGAGATCACAGCCATTCCCATAATATAATTTTGATTTCTGACAAATATATAAAGTATGTGTACAGTATTTTTGAGATTACATAGTATGAAACAAATATCAAAGTTCCGTTTCATTCAAAGCTAGAATAAGCTCCTTTTGCTTAGGATATACATGTTTATAAACCAAATTCAATATTACATCACATAATTCCTGACATAATAGTCAATTTTCTGTTAGGAACAGAACCCCAATTTAAAAACAACATTATGCCAATGGGTGTTTAAACAATCATCTAAATATCGCTGACCTCTAATTCCAGTTCTGTTATGCTAGGTTGTTTTTGGAGATGATGAGCAGAAACTGGTTCAATGAGAGAAGAAATAGTTTTGGCATTGGAGAGAGAGGATGACTTATTGAGAGAGTTCATAAAAAGGCAAAGAATTGGACATTAGTTAAGAATTGTAGGCAAGTAATCTTATTGACACTTTTTTTTTTTCTTTTTCCTTTTTTAAATGTTGTGACTGAGGAGATGACCAGACACTTCCTGCTATTTTGGTCTCAAAGGTACTGACTCAACAAGCAACACACGTTAATGAAATGTTTGATTCTTTAATGAGAAATGGGTGTTAATTTTTTTATTTATAAAATGGATTTTTCTATATTATGAGTTTTTCTATTGTTTGCTAAATACTCATAAATATATACGGATCTATAAATACTTCTGAGTTTGCTAAATACTCTTTAAATGCTGATATGGATTTTCCTATATTTATTGGGCTTTTTGTGTTTTTCTATTTTTTTTTCCCCTTTATTTGGGAGTGGGGATTGGTAAGTTGTGATAAATAAGTATATATATATATATAGTTTCAGCATTACCTATTATTTTTTTAATACCCTATAAACAATTGTCCCCTTACTGTATGCTGTTGATTTGTTGTTTTATCCATTGAATTTTATTATATCAGTTTAGTCTTATAATTTATTTAATTTCAATCTAAATTTTGTTGGCTGCTGCCCATGAGCTAACCAAATAGATCCAAAGGGGCTGGTTTCATATTTTGCTTATGGTCATGTATTGCTTAACAAATATTCAAAATTTATTTAAGGTTGGAAGCAAAATGAATCTGAATGGGTGTAGGTGAAGATTGAAGAAGATGATGGAGGGTTACATACACAAAATTGATGGGACTAAACTGATATAATAAATGGCTTTGGGTTTTTGGAAGAAAATAAATGGGGTTTTTTAAGTTGTATTGATTTGTAAATGATGGGAGAATTAAGTTAGTTAGAGTTTGTTGTTGAATTACCAAGCGAAGAGTTTGCTTTTTGAATTTTATTTTATTAAATTCTTTCTTAAGAACACGTCTTTCTTAAATTTTTCCCATAACCTTATGTGATCAATTAAAGGAAGTTCCAAAAAGAAATAGTTGAAAAAAATAAAATCCAAAGAAAATATTGATTGATTTTTATAAATTAATATTTTTATCAATCATTAATTTGTATTTGTGTTGATAATGTGTTGTGTTTGTTCATAGTGTTTGCATTGGGTAACCAATTATTATTTTGCAACAATGTATGTGTTTGGTTTGAATTGGGTGGTCTATAAAAAAATATTTCATTAGTGTGACAATGCGTGTGTTTGTTTTGAATTGAGTAGTCTCTTTTAATTATCATATTGGCTTTTTTTTCTATTTTACAGGTGGATGAAGACTACAAGCGAATGGTAATATTAACTACCTTTTTACAAGTCTACATTTCTTCAGGCTTAAGTTTTTCTTATCTCTCTAATGATTTTGTATTTATTGTTGTATAAACTAAACGTGCACTTCTTTGATTGATGAGTGTTGAAAGAGGGACAATCTTGAGTGAGCAACAATCTCGAGGGCAGAATTTACACTATTTTTGGTTTTGTCATTGACAAACTTTGAAAATGATTGACGTTGTATAAAGTTGAAGATTATGGCAGATTGACGTTGTAGAAATTTATATAGATTTGGTTTGGTTTGAGAGGTAAACATTTAAAGGTGTTTCTTATTTAGATTTTGATCAAGAATACTATTTTCGTATTGGCATGGTGTGCTCCAAAGGGAGAACACAGCGATTCAATCCGTTTGATGGCGATAAATCTGGGCCCACCGATTCTTGGACTTGCGATAAATTCGGGCCCACTAATCTTGGGCTATTGGGCCTAAATAATTTAGTGGGCTCAAATTAGCCCCTCTTACAGAGAGAATGACATATGAAAATTATTCAAACAAAATATTATTTACACCGTGCCTGTAGGTACGGACATACACTAGTTATTAAACATCAAAAGAAACTATGAAAAAGAAGACCCATAATTTGGTTCCTTCAAAATAGAATTCTGATTCCGTTCCCCATTATTACTGGTTAGGGGTGAGCAGCGGATATACCGATCCGCCAAAACCGACCGAACCGAACCGATCCGCCACATTTTGGACGGATGCGTGATGATGAGCGGACGGTTGCGGATTGATTTTCTCCAATCCGCCAATTTGGCGGACGGATGGCGGATTTGAGATTTTTTGGCCGCAACCGAACCGCCAAACCGCCAAATCGCGAGCACCTGTAGTAATTTATAAGACTTTGTATTTTCAATTTGTTTAAATATTATGTTTGTGTTTTCAATTGAAAAAGAGTTTAAATATTTTGTTGAAAAAAAGTTTTCAACTTGAATATATTTTTGAATTGAAAAAAATAAACATATTATTCATCTATATTTTTTAGTTTTTAAATCTAACTCTAAAAATAATAAATAAAAAATATGATATATGCTGGTTGGTTTTTGTTTTCAAAAACATATGTAGATGTAACAATATAGAGACATTCAATCTCTACTACTGCTCTGTTTATGGTTTTGGTGGTTTGAATTGTTATTATATTTTAAGAATCACAGATTGTAATACTTTATAGGGATGAATCATACTGTAATTGTAATATGTGGATGAAGCATACAGTGATCGTGATATTCTAAAGTTTCAAAAAAACTTTCTTTAGATAAGGCATACAGTGATTGTAATACATTTTTAAGTCATTGACTGTAATACTTTTTTTTTTCTTTTTTTTTAAGGAAGTGCACAAATTGAATTATGTTGAAAATTTATAAAATTTAAACCCGCCAAACCGATTCGCATCCATCCGCCAAACCGCCAATCCGCTCAATCCACATCCGCCGGATTGGCGGACGGATGCGGATTGATTTTCTTCAATCCGCCAATCTGGCGGACGGATGGCGGATTGGAGGTTTCGTGGCCGCAACCGACCCGCGCCCACCCCTATTACTGGTTCATAAATTTTATACACTATAAACTCAGTTCAATATCAATTAGATTAAAACTCAAATAGAAACATGTCAATAGACAAACAATTAAACTTTCAAATTTTTTAATTCCGATAAATTTGCAAATCAAATCTCAACCTAACTACTCAATCGCCTAATTCACAACAACACTCAAACCAGATTACAAATTAAGATTGACCCAAATTGCTACAATAATATATATATATATATATATATATTTGAGGCTCAGATCTATGTATGATCAGGCGAGAATCCGGATTCGCCATGGCTGCAACAACGGTTACCCGTGAGAGAAGAAAGAAAAGGGAACCCATATCTCTATCTCTCACAGACCCACCGAGTTGCCCCGCCAAGACACGGGTCGGGTTCTCGGTGCCCGACTCATGTGCTCAGAAGAAATTAATCGTCACAGCCTCTCTTTGTTTCGCCGGAGCAGCGCTCCCGGAGGGTTGAGTTTTTGTGCTGTCATCAACAGCCTCAAACCCCATCGGAAGGACTGCCAATGATTTTTATTTTTTTTTTGGATGTTTTTTGGGTGCAAATAGAATTACCTGCGAGAAGAAGATGGGAAGATCCAATCGTCCACTCGCAAACACACACACACAGAGAAAGAGAGAGAGATAGAGAGAGGGCTGTTGATTTGGGAGGTGAAATCATCGGCTCCAATGATCTTTGATCTGTGTGAGAGAAAGAGAGATCATCTTTTTGTGTTGCAGAGAGGGGCATGATGACTCATCCTGTATTGATGTCCCTAAATTGCTGAATCACCTCCCCTAGTCCTAGGCACCACAGATGGCTTAGGTTTCACTCGTCCAACAAAGAAAAATGCCTCATACACCCACTGGGGGTCGATCCCCAGTGAGGTGGCACTCTATTATTGGCCAAAAAAAATTATTTTCTTTTTTTTTTTTTTTTGGGTTTCGGCCAGTGGAGGCGCGACACCTCACTGGGGTGCGACTCCCACCAAGGGTATGCAGCAGGATTGTTATTTGCAGTGCATCATCATCAAAGATTACTTTTCTATCTTTTATCAACCTTCACCAATATTACAAAATCAGACTGAGCTATTTAGAAATTATTTATAATTATAACTTCGTGAGTGAGATTTATTTTATACATAATTTTATATTATATAAATTTAATTTTTATTACATCATCATTAATTTAATTATTACTTTTTTTTTTTTTTTGGGACCAATTGTGATGAGGTTAACGTTGTGATGGTGTAGGGCAATTTAGATATTGGTCGAGCATATTACTAGGAAGGACTCAGAGCAATGGTAAGTTCAAAGAAATTATTAAAATTTTTACTAGACATTCGGACATGTGTGGGATCGATACTCAAATTGTCTCTTACTAATATGAAAGTTTGATAAAAAATTTAATAATATTTTTCAAAATTTTTACAATTTTTTGATGAGGAAAATGGTAAAAGTGAAGGCACTAACGAGATAAAAGTGATGGAATCAATGTTTAAGTTTTGTGTTTTAATTGATATTTTTATTAGTATTTTTTATATGGCATAATTGTTTTTGTTTTGTTAATTTAAAAAATTTAGATTAAAGAGTTCATTTTTTTTTTTAGCAGGATTAAAGAGTTCATTTGACATGTTAATGTAAAAACATTACTCTACTAAAAATGACCCCCAAAAAAATCATATAAAAAATTCAAAAAAAAAATTACCTATTTACTTTTTACATGTATTTTCATAAAAAAAAAAATTAAAAAGTTATTCTTTTTAAACTTTTATCTCATATTTTAGCTATAAAAAATAGAATACTCAATTCATGAATCTAATTTTAAATTTTGTTCAGTTAGAAGTCTAGCCACTCAAATATTTTGACAAACTTAGACCAAAATACCTAGTCTTCATATATATATATATACACGCTATATACGCAAACCAAACCCTCACCAAACGAGCAAGGATCATCGGTCGCCCTTTCCTGCGGCCCTTCCCAAAATGACGTCGTTTTGGTTAGTTTTTTTTTTTTTTTTTTAAACTCAAAATTTGAGTTTTATCATCGCATAAGGTATAACATTATACTTATGAATCATAACCAAAATAGAGAGAGAGAGAGAGAGAGAGAGAGGGAGTATAGACATTCATCTTGCAAAATGAAGAGATCAAAACACAAGTGAATTAGTCATAGATAGATTTATGCTATGTTTGGGTTCATTAATTTTTTCATTTTCTTCTTTGTTTCATGCACAAACCCCTCTACAAAAAAAAAAAAAAAATTATTTAAACATTATTAGGAGACTTGGAACAACTTTTAAGTAAAAAACAAAAACACAAATAAATTAATATATTGAGTTCTTGTATGGTTCCCTTTTTGCTGGTGTACTGCTATTGAATTTAAAGAGTGGGATTGAGAGTAAATTTAAGCTCAATAATAGTATCATTTGTAAACCCAGTTAAAACAAAAAATTAATTGCATATATATATATATATATATTATATAATGAAGATTGAAGATTTGAGGAGAATGAAGCTTGAAAGGACCACATCTTACCAAGCCTCGCCTCGCCTCGCCTCGCCTCACCGTCGAATCGACGACATCTTGTCTGCCATCGTCGTCCTCCAACTCTACTCCTTCCGTTTCGTTTCTCTCCTCTCCTCTGTTCATGGTCTTCTTTGATGGTTAGGGTTCACATCGACGAGAGAGAAACAGAAAGGAAGGGAAAAGGGAAAGAAGGAAAAAAAAAATTAAATCAAATTTAACGCCAAAATGACGTCGTTTTGGGACGCCACAGGAAGTGCGGCAGGAAACCGCGATCGAGGATCCGGACTCCTCACCAAACCCCCCCGACGTCTACTCTCTCTCTCTTCGCTCCGTCACACCGATAGTCGTTGTCTATCCCTCACCCGCGCATCTACCTCACCTATCACATTTGCCTCTGTCTTTGCTTCACCCTACACCTCTTCCAACACCGTGGTCTCACTCAATCTCCCCTAGGGTTTCGTCATCGGTGGCCGCAAACCAAAGCTGAGATTGGTGATCGAACAAGAGCTTCGTCGCAGCCGTTATTGTTAGATCGTCTCCGTTGTCAGATCGTCTATGTGTCACCGCTAGAAGCCTCTAAAAGCTAGAGTTTATCTCTCTCTCTCTCTCTCTCCTTCTCTCTTTCTCTCTTCATCCGGCGATTCCAATGTTATTTTACTTAATCATGGCAGTGATTTCCAGAGTCTTCTCGACTTCGTTCTGCATCAAATCGAGGAGATTCAACTCATTTCCTTGGCATCATTGCCACCATGGATTTTTTTCTCTCATATAGATATACAGAGGCGATCTCAAAACCCTATGATTTTGATCTATCGTATTCGAAGAATCATAGCCTCCTTCAACCAAGTGAAACCTATGAATTCAATTTGCTCTCGATTAATTCCTCTAAGATCTGTTTCAATGTCGACATTTCTCTATTTCTCATATGCATGTTTGTGATTTGTACCATTGTTCATGAATTACAAGTTAATTGAGATTTGTGAGCTCTTTTAATTTTGAAAGCAGTGTTAAGAGATCAAGAGCAATGATGTTGAGCATCGTAAGGTGAAGAGTCTCTTATGGAGGCTTGTCTTCTTCAGAAGTCAAGTAATCGAAGGAGGTTTCTTGATTTCATGATTTAGTGTTGTTCAGAATCTGTGGTTCCGATTCGGAAAATGAATGTGGAGAAAAAAGCTTAGGAATGGCG